TGAAGCCACACCATCCTATCAGCCGTGTGTAGCTCAGCCTCGGTCAGTCAGACAGAGAGCAGAGAAATGGAGATAGCAATGTAACGTGCATGACGTGAATGTTGATTTAGAATTCACCTGCCAATGTTATGAATTAAGTTTTGAACTATTTGTTACAGCCCATCTAATAATGCAATTATTAATATAATTGTAAATTATTTGTAATATTTTTTTAACACAATATTTACATATTACGTGTTTAGAACTGGAGCAGGACTTCTCAAAACTAGTGGAGTGGTGGAAAAAACTAACATTAAGTTAAAGTGTCCACCATGTCATATAGTGACTGTGTATTTGAGGGTTAGAGTCAAGATTTCCCAGTAAATTGTGAGATTAGTTTTGAAGCTCTCTAGTACACACTCTGTATTACTGTAGCTGATGCTCCTAACCCCCCAGACAATGTATCACAGTCCTTGACACCATCACTCATGAATGACACCCCAAATACTTGAACCCCTCCACTTTGACCCAGTAACTGAAGTGGTCCAGCTTCTATATAAAGCTGTTAGGCCACTGGAATACCAGGGCATATTGTAGTCTATAGGGGTCGCATTGAGTTACCCATAAAACAGCATCCATACACATGCTTAAAATAAAATCAATGTTTCTCTTATGTTGTTCTGCAGACAAAGGACCTCCCGGAGGGGCTGCGAGCCGAGCTGCTGCTAAAGTAACTTAAGATCCAGACGTCCAATAACTAAAATCCTTCATCGGCACAAAAATGTAGTGTTTAAAATGACCAAGTTCTTAAAAGTGTATCGTACAAATGTGGCTTATAATACTGGTCAACAATAAGGGTTTTTCAATGGCTGATGCCGATGGACAATATATCATTTCGATATCAAAACAAAGAACATAATGTATTATTCTATTATATTCTACAGGACATTCAGATTTACAGTAGGATGTATGAGAGTTATAGTACAGGGCTCGAAACCAACTCGTTTAACTCACCCCTTGTGAGTTAAACATAGTTTAACAGCAGCCACACTGACAAGGCTGAACTCATGAATGCACTAAGAACCCCGGCACAGACCTTTGGTACAAATTCATATAACTACAAACTACAGCAAACTCAGCTTTAAATGTACTCTTATGTCCCCTCCAGCACTCTGCACAGTTTACAGTTTTCAGTGCAGTGTCAGGACATGTCAACCATTTATTACAACAATAAGCATGTTTTGGTGGTGTGGCTCTGGTCATCTCTAGAACAAATCTGAGCAGCTTGACACCAACAGTCCCTGTGCTCAGTTTCAGCATGCTGTCCATACTCAGTCATCCAACATGTGCTTCTTTCTGACTGTCAAGAACAAATGAATCTGTGTGTGTTGGCGGAAGGTCATGTGTGGGTGTGTAGGTATCAACAATCTTAAGATTAAGTTTTTTCTTATAGTGTAGGTGTGTGTTTGATAGATGTGGTGATCTTCCCATGGAGGAATTATAGTTTGTGTTCAAGCTACAGCTCCGATGACATTTAGGAGTCATACAAGTGAAAAGAAACAATTTTTATCCTTGCGGAGAGTAGAGTAAATGATGTCTGTTCCACCTTCAGCACCCCAGGCAGTGCGAGACTGACAGATTACTGCAACGTTCCTGCTGTATATGTAATTTATGTTTGCCGGCTCTACAGTCTCTCCGCGCAAGATGAAATGTGGCTGCTCACTCTTCATTTATACCTCAACTCCAGTAAGTAGGAAGTCAGAGACATGATGAAGCAGAGGGATCACACAGTTAACATCATCCTGGAGATGCATGGTAGACACAGCTGGGAACAGAGTTGTGTCTCAGATCACTGAAATGCATTTTAAAACCAAGTGATTCTTTTCTACAGGAAATTCAGGCATATGTTTACAGCAGGATGCATGAGAGTTATAGAACAGGGCTCGAAACTAACTTTTTCACCACCTTCTCAAAACTCAAAAAGGGGAGCGCTAACATCGTTCCACAGCAGCCACACTGATGAGGCTGCCTGAGGATGTGCCTGAAGACATTTTTTGTCATCGACCTTGTGAGCACAGATATTGGCTAATGCTGATTATGTCAAAATGCCAGATAGTTGGCCCGATTAACAGGTGGGCCGATGGCTATCACTAGTGTTGTTTTTGGCAGCCTGTTTTAATTTTAGTTTTAGTCTAGTCTTTGTGTCAAACTGTCATTTTAGTTTTTATTAGTTTTAGTCACGTTTATACTCTTTTTAGTCTAGTCAAGTTTCAGTCGACTAAAAGTCAGAGCATTTTAGTCTTATCAGGGCTCCAGAGTGTGACCAGTTTGTGTGACGCTGCCCGGGTGAAAACATAAATTTATTTCGCAAGCGCATCATCTCTCTGTGTTCTCCTGTGACCGAATTCACACTCATGGTAGGATCATATCGTGTTCTAAACCAATAAGAGACAGAACTCGGGCGGGTCGTTGCCTCTGATTGGCTGTGGTCCTGTTCCTGTAAGTTGTGTGTGTTTAAAAATTGAGCGCGACCTGAGTGCGAGACTAGCTTACTAACTGAAACGGAAAAATAAAATAAACGCGACAAAACGAAAACGAAAATTAAGAGAGGCAGAAATGTTGAAAGTTTTTTCATTAAGAAAACCAAGCCTACAACCAGCCCTTCTACTATAATCCCATCCATCCCCACTACTGAGAGTCCATCCCGTCAAGATATGGAGCCCTCGGTCCCTGGTGAGATACCAAGCCCCGGTCCTTCGGCGACAGCATCAGACTCAGAACCAGAGGAGGAGACAACCGAGTCTGGATAGAGCCCGGCTCCGAGACCCAAATTAAAAAGGCCAAAATATATTCCTTCAGACAGGACTGGCTGAAACAATTTCCCTGGCTGAGGTACAACAAAGGACGTAACACAATGCACTGCGTGTACTGTCAGGAGTGCGGTCAGAATATGGACGGAAATAGTGCATTCGTGAGCGGGTCAACTACATTTTGTATCGAAACTTTAAAAAAACATAACATGTCTAAAAAACACACGATATGCCGTGACAAGCGTGTAGAGAAAGTGGCTACTCTCCCAGCTGCATTTCAGCGGCAGGTAGTAGTAATCAGGTCCTCTTTTATTTGGAAATGTTTTATTTTGCTTAGCGTTTTAGTTTGAAATGTTCAATTTCAGCTCAGTGAAGCAATTAAAACACTTTATTTTTCTTTTTATATATAATTGTGCTTCAAATAAAGACAAGCATTTCTCTACACCTTATTCTTGTTTAAAAATCATTCACATTCTATGAAAGTTATGGAGAGCAATAAAAAGGTGACCTTATGGCGTTAAAGTATAAATTAAAATGAAAAATTTGGGTGCACCTAAATTTTGTGCTGGTGCACCTAAAAAAAAAAAAATTAGGCGCACCAGTGCAACCAATGCAAACATTTAGTCTGGAGCCCTGCTTATTTTAGTCAGAATTATCCATGACTATCTTCGTCTAGTTTTAGTCAATGAAAATTGTATTATAGTTTCTTTTTAGTAATGCAATTCTATTTAGCCCAGTTAATATAGTACAAGTACCTAGTATAGTATAGACAAAACCAAAATTTTCTTTAAGTCACCCATTCCTCAAGTCAAACAAGGTTATCTTATTATTATATTATTGTTACCTTATAGACTCAAGAATACATTCAATTCCAGACACGGAAGACGCTCTGACTTGAATTTACAACATATTTATTTTACCTACCAAACATGTACTAAGAAGTACACACACATACATTTAAATAAAATAAATAAATAAAATAGCTTCAAATGACAATGCCAGAAAAAATTTACATTACATTCAAGTTTAACTTAAAGAGAAACAAGGTGCTTGATTGCTCGAGCTACAATAACATAATAAAAAAGTGCCAATAAAATGTGTGTGTCTGTGACTAACGTTAACCCACCGCAGCTGCATCTTCTAAATAATGCCGCGAGTGGGGATTGAGGAAGTGACGTAGCAGAACAAACAGAAATATTGCAAAATTATAATAATAGCGAGACGAAATAACGTTATAACATTTCGTCTCGTCCCGTTTTGGTCAACGAAAATGGATAAAAAATATTTTAGCAGAGTTTTTATTTTGCAAACCACATTTAGTCCCGTTTTTATTCGTCAACAATATTGCATTATATATTTGATATAGTTTTCGTCACATGACCACCATTTACGTTGCGTCTCGTCTCGTTTCCGTCACGTGATAAAGGTCTGTTGACGACGATATTTAGTCATAATTTTCGTTTTAGATATCACTAGCCAGGGCTCAGTTCCTCAGAACCGAGTGGACCCTCCTAAACACTACCTGCCCCATACCAAACACACAGAAATAGTCTGACCTATCTGGTAAATATAGTAGCGCATATAGCAGCCAGCTGTTTTATTGGATTTTGTGGAGACCAAAAACAGAGCTAAAAGAGAATAAACATTCCCCGGGGACAAACACACCTCACACAACAATGCTAATGTTGCTCTGTGTCTGTCTGATATGTAAGTAGGCTGTTTGCTAACATGTTTACCACATGAAATATGGTTTTGTGTCATTGTTTGGTTTATAACTTGTTTACACTCTGCCCAAATGGCCAACAAAAATGAGAAAATATCCCTGATATTGTCATGGGGGTTATCTCAGCTTGGGCTTGGAGACTAAAAATTAATAACACAACATCTGCGTTACAAACTGAAGGTATGGAGTTTCAAAGCGGTGGGTGTTTACCAGTCTTAGAGGGTTTAATGAAATATCCAATTAACTTGTATTATGTGAAATGTAGGATCCCATGTTCTTGGAGCTTGACCTACATTAGGCACTAAAAGTCAGGATATGTCAGCCTCTTACATTGTGACCATTCCTTTTTTGATGTCTTTCAAGTGGGCCGACCTCTTGGAAGTATAATCATGAATAGGAGAGTCAATTTTCCTAACTCGAGTGTCTACGTTGTGCTTTTATTATGTACTAGGATTTTCTACAATTAATTTTATTCTCTGTCTTCTCAGACCGAGTAACGGAAGTGAAGACTGACATCTACGTGACCAGCTTTGGTCCAGTGTCTGACACAGATATGGTAAGTCTCACACCTCACCTCACAGTGAACCATCTTCTCAGGACCCAAGATAACACACACAAAGTGTGAAACAAAAAATGGCTTCAGTGTCCTCGAAAGCCTCGACTGCACACTTCAAGCAGTCTAAATAAATGTGAGGTTTCAAACACATATTGCTTGTTTTTGACAAAAGCTTTAGGTTTTTGGCTTTGGCTGTGAACAAGGAACTTGACAAACTGACAGTTTGTTATATCTGGGAGCCTCTGAGAGTCTGACAGCTAAAAATATGAAGAAATGTGTGTGTCTGAGAAAGTAAATATATCAGGAGGATCGTGCTTATTTGGAAAGACAATCAAATTCCTAGTAAACATGAAATGTCGGTATGTTTTGAGAAAGGTTCATATCAAAAGCAAATCAGTCACTGTGGCTGCAAGTTCAGTTAGATGTCAGTGACAGTTGGTTGATTAATGAGTGTTTCATGGTACTGATCTGGTATTAATGTCAGTATAATGACTTAGTAACAGGGATTTGGGTCTAATTTAATCAGCTTCATGTTATAAGATTAAAAAAATCATGGCAACCACTGCATCTTCTCAACTTCATACTGAATCAGTTCTGCTGTTTTGAAAGGTCAAGAAGTTTGCTAGGTCCAACAGAACTGCAATGTCTTTCATGCATGTTACACAGAATGGTCATGATGGTGAAACTTATAAACAGCTGTATCGGGAAAACCTTATTTTGACACCTTTGAACCCAGAAGTGGGACCAAGTCATTGTTTTGCAAGTCACAAGTCTCAAGTACTCAAGTAAAGAAGGCATAATGTGCCCACTGTGTAGTTTCTGTATGCAAATTATATTACCTTCGGTATTATTTCCAACTGGCACTCAGTAATGTAACGTAACGTTAGTTCTTTGTGGTTCTCTCTTGCAACATGACTGAACGCTGTCAGATTGGTTCAAACAAAATGGATCTATTAAGCGAATTAAGCATCGACTTGCTTTGAATGAATAGTGTTAACGTTAGCTGATTCAGAAAATGAATTGATTCCTAGAATAGTTTTTAAATAACACACTTTTTAATCTTTGGGTTTAGGTATCAAATCTTCAGTATCAAGTCCAAGTGAAGTCACAAGTCATTGGTGTCGAAGTCCAAGTCACGTCTAAAGTGTAAATTAAATTTGTGACTAGAGTCTGACTTGAGTCTCCACACCTGCTCTTTAGAGTCAGTGGAAAGTTGCAAATACATGATAACACTATCCTAAAACTATCAGAGATAAATGACTGAGGCCAAGGAAACACACTTTGCCATTTCATTTTTTGGTGATCCTGAAGAACTATTAACAAATGCCACTGCACAATCTTGCCAGAGATTAACATTACCATACATAAACTACTCTGTTACTGTGTTTACTCCTGTATGGTGCTGAGAAGGTATTGTACAGTGGGTTTTTTAAAGCACTTCATTTTTTATATAAACAGCTGCATGCTGCTGGAAATGACGCTATGAGTGCGTTGAGGCAGAACCAAAAAAGTAAAGTCATAGATGAGCTCTCTCTGCAGACTCTGTGATAATTCTCTGTGTGCGCATCACTACGAGCATAAAGTACATATAGTGATCTGTTTTAATTGAAACATATTGATTTTAGCAGCTTTTAAACTGATGGCCCAATGCTAGTTCTGACAGTTGACACGGACGTTACAATAAATATTAATTCCTCAGATGATTCCTCTTCATTGTGGTGACCATTACTCTACTGCCACTTTCAAAGGTTCTCCTTTACCAACATCTTTTGTCCATAACTAGGTTCTGTGTCTTGGAAACTCATGGCTGAACAGTCCTTAAATTTACTATGGATGTTCCCCAGAGGAAGTCTTGTTCTCATTAACTCATTCAACCTGTGTTAGCACAAAACACAACATCATAGCAATATGAGAGCAATAAAACTCCATGTGAATAGAATTGACTTCAATTTAAAATTAAAAAGTGGAACACTAAATGTCACTGTGATGCAATCTCTAGAGTGACAGTTTAAACCGAACCAACTACAAAAAACAAAGTCAAACACAAGACTTGTGTCCAGGACTCCTGAAGAAATCTGACTCTAAGCCGACACGGTCCTTCATAAAATCTCAGGGTTGACTTGCTGGGGCAGCTCAGATGTAATTACACACATCCAGCAGATAAAATCTTCCAGACAGAGACCTGTCAGCTCAGTTTGTCCTGTTGCTATTGGAAACCCAGCCACTCTAACCAGAAGAGAGATGACATGGCAAGGGTCAGACTATGTTATTAAAAATCTGATCCGATCGTCCACTGCCTTGCAGCTCTGATATGGAGACGTTTGATGGATTACACATTAAACATATTAATGATCATTATCATATATTGGCTTTCCATTGTAAACCCCATTCTGTAATGATTCTAATGTAGCATTTTGATGGGATGGCACATATTGTAGTCCTGCATGCCGTTTTATGATTGGAATGATGTTACAATCGTAGCTACCAAGTCTGGCAGCAACACATAGTCAGCTGGGTTTTGTTCCCAGTTGGGACAGATTTCAAACCTGGCTACCAATCACAAGGTTTCTGCAGGTTTCAACAGGTTAAATGTAATACCGAAGGCCATCATTAATGCAATTACATTTTACATCCATACTGGCCAACGAAGTATGAAGGATATGAAGGAAAATCAGTATTGGTTCCATGTTGGGGAATTTTCAAGTAATCTGGAAAAGAAAATATGAATGAATGCTTTTTTTCATCCACTACTGTTCCATGATTATACGGAGTTAGTTCACCAAGATAAACAGTAGTTGGCACCAATTGTCTGCCAACTTTCTGGTGCCCTTTTCAGTTTTTTTGCCCCTCCATGTCAAACAACCTGAGTCTGCCACTACCAACTTGTTTAAACTTAAGTTGGATTTCTACTGAAGCAATGATTTAACAGCAGTCTCGCAATTGGTAGGTTTTGATTTTTAATTCAGCGCCTTATTTCACTGTGTATATCACCACTGCAACACCAAACACATACAGAGGTGCACCCCACTGTATTTATATACTTCCACATCCTCATTGTGTTATAGAGTGACAATGGGAGAGTTCTCCATGTCTGATTACTGAATACAGCTGTGCAATCAACATGTTTACATTCTTTCAGAGGCCAGGAATCTCAGTGAGGAGGAGCTTTTCTGCAGAGGTGCCTTTGTTACTGAAAAGCAACCGATTACTGTGTTTTTCTTGAATTTGCTTCATGCTGTCCTCACTCTTAATTATCTCCACTGCCATCAGAACCTTGTAGGAGAAAATAAGCAGTAGACTGATCACAGTTCTTGTGCTTTCCAGCTAATATCGCTCTATATGCCATAGCTCTGACATGTAGATATATTTTGAGGTGTGTTGCTACAGTGGCTACATGTGTAGACTCCATATTAGTGCTGCACTCAAATCAAGATTTTCCTAATGGACTGCGAGTGGATGGGTTTGGGGTGCAGGTCCACTTGGCGTTGGTATTTTGTTATGTCATGTGCTTGTGGTTCCTGCTTTTTCTTTTTAGGGCCAAAGCAGCAGCTGCTGTGAGGACCCTATTGACACGCAAGGGAATTGTTATTTTTCTGCCAAAAGCATTCTTGAAGGTCACAACATGCTTGAAAAACTCATAAAATGCGGCACAAAATTCAACAGGCAAAATCACTTGACAGCGCCCCCTAAACTCAGCCCCTGAGTCACATTTTACCGATATGTATGAAAATCAGTATGCCCATGTGTCATGACCAGACAAATAAAAAAGCATCTTGGACCCATACCCTAAACCCAACAGGAAATCGGCCATCTTGGATTTAGTGGTAATTTTTGGCAATTTCGCGTGTTATATTTTAATGAACTCCGATTGGCTCAACTTCAGATTTGGTTAGCGCAATCTAACGACCACCATGATTTAAAGTTGTGCTATTTGTAGAATTTCGGTACATCGGCACGATTCTTGCCAATACACAGCCCTATTACCTAGCAATCGTCATTGCATTTCTGCATATGACAAAAATACCAAAGAAAATGTTTATTTTATCATTGGATAATTTTTTTACAGTTTATAGTTTATATAAACATATCATATATATATTTTTTATTATTAACTATTTAGTTTGCCTTTTCAAAGGCCCATAGCAAATTGTAACATTTTTGACCACCTTTGAGCACAGGTGTATTTCCAAAGTGGCAATCTGAATCACTCGCAAGGGCCCGTCTCCATCCTACACATTGTTGGAGGCCCCCCACACCCCAGTGCAACCCCACTGCCTGCCTGCACTTTACGCCCCTGGGGTTAACACAGATTTTTTCAAGCATGTTAAAATGGTAACAGCGGAATATCAGCATCCAGTGTGCGGACAGGGACAGCCCTCAGTTAACTCCAACTCATGCACACACACATTACAATCACACACACAAACACACTCCCACACAAACACGCTCCTTCCTGCCTTAAAAGCTTTCCCCAGTTTTTTCCAGCACAATCCCAGCCACCCAACCCCCTCACCCCCCTCCACCCCACCTGGCCCTTCTCAAATATTTAAGTGGCATAGAAGCGAGGGGCAGAGGGATGGAAGTGGTCATGATCGAGACAGCACCTTCAAAAGGAAGAAAAAAGAGAGATGGCCTCATGTTTAATTCATGCCATGTCTCCATCAAACTTGCAGCAGATAATTTCACTCCACCACAGTGTCTATCTTTTCTCTGCCTTTGATAGCTCGGTTCTGATACACACATACACACGCGTCTCCCACGCAAGGACACACACACACACACACACACACACACACACACACACACACACACACACACACACACACACACACACACACCCATCTTCCCTTTCCCTGATAGATTGGACGACCCCCTGCTGCTCCCTCTGCCTCGTTGTTTGCGAAGGTTTTCTCATTGTTGGATTATAATGTCCTGTCTGTGCTCCTCACGCAAACACTGTGAAAGCAAAAAATACAGCAAGACGCTTCAGACACCTAATA